GCTGTTGCAATACCCTTTTTCCTAACAATATAACATCTGTATATTGTAAGATTTCAAGGTCATGGGCCCGCAAAATTTTCGGAGTGCGTGGCGTTAGCGGTTGGTCACGTATCTTTGTCAGAGAAATTTTTGTTGCCCCTCCCCCTTCTCGCACCCCCTCCCCGAGAGGCAATCCTGGGTACGTCACTGTCCTGCTCTATCGATAAGCAAGTGACGGTCCAAAAAAAATCAGTGAAAAGTCCACCACTTGATTTGCACTTCATTTGCATCATTTGCACAATTCGGAGCATTCTTTTCTTGGACGTGCAGTACAAAAATATCGAATAATCGAATATATATATATATATATTTTCGAACTAAGAAAATCGTCGGAAATATCGGATATATTTGAATTGAAAAAAATCCGAATATTCGAATATATTTGAGAGATAAAACCCGAATAAACTATTTTGCATCGATTATGTCGAATATTCAAACAAATTTTGATCGAATTAGCACAATGAAGGACTCCATGCAGTGGGCAACTTAGACAAGAAACGATGGTTGCTGGTATAGCAGTCAAGATTGTGACGCTGTCATGTAGTTATTCGATCATACGTGATTGTCGAATAATCGAATAACTTCTGAAAATAATTATTCGAATGTTCGAATATTTTCGAGAATCAAATTCTTCGATCAACTGAATAATCGAATAAATTCGAAATTGACAACTTTCGAATAAGCGAATATCGAATGTAATCGAGATTTTAAAATTTTCGAATAATCGAATCTTATATATAAAGCTGAATGTCTGTTTGTCTGTCTGTCTGTATGTCTGTCTGTCTGTCTGTATGTACGTATGTTCCGAATAGAAAATTCCATTTCTGAACCGATCCGGACCAAACTTGGCACACATACACTACGGGCCCCGGCGGGTGTCACAGGCTACTTTTCGTCATCGATCGATATCGATTTTATCGATTTTTATCGATTTTTTTTGCTGAGTTCACCTACGGGGCTGGGAGTTGGCACAGGGGGGTAATCGAGCATGGGGATTCCGAATACAATATTGGTTTTCAGGATTATCGATTACTTTTATCGATTTTATCGATTTTTTTTGCAAAGTTTGGGCTACGGGGCTGGGAGTTGGCACAGGGGGGTAATCGAGCATGGGGATTCCGAATACAATATTGGTTTTCAGGATTATCGATTACTTTTATCGATTTTATCGATTTTTTTGCAAAGTTTGAGCTACGGGGCTGGGAGTTCGCACAGGGGGGTAATCGAGCATGGGGATTCCGAATACAATATTGGTTTTCGGGATTATCGATTACTATTATCGATTTTATCGATTTTTTTTGCAAAGTTTGAGCTAGGGGGCTGGGAGTTGGCACAGGGGGGTAATCGAGCATGCTGATCATCCCCAAGGGGGGTGATCAGCATGCTCGATTACCCTCCTGTGCCAACTCCCAGCCCCCTTGCTCAAATTTTCAAAAAATCGATAAAATCGAAAAAGTAATGGACGATCCTGAAAACTAATATTGTGTTCGTAATCTGCATGCTCGATTACCCCCCTGTGCAAACTCCCAGCCCCGCAGGTCAAACTTTACAAAAAAATCGATAAAATCGATAAAAGTAATGGACGATCCTGAAAACTAATATTGTGCTCGTAATCAGCATGCTCGATTACCCCCCTGTGCAAACTCCCAGCCCCGCGGGTCAAACTTTACAAAAAAATCGATAAAATCGATAAAAGTAATGGACGATCCTGAAAACTAATGTTGAATTCGGAATCCCCATGCTCACTTCCCCCCCTGTGCCAACTCCTAGCCCTGTAGGTGAACTCTGCAAGAAAATCGATAAAAATCGGTAAAATCGACATCGATCGATAACGAAAAGTGGACTGTGACACCCGCCGGGGCCCGAAGTGTATGTGTGCCAAGTTTGGTCCGGATACGGCGGAGCCGGGTAAGCCAGCTAGTTTCGAATAATATTTATTCGAATTTATTCAAATACTCGAATATTTATTCGATTCGGTCCAAAGTATAACGTGCAGCCCAGCGGCCCGCAAATTTTTCGGAATTATTGATACAGAACCAAGTACTTGAATGCAGCGGGGTGAAGAAGGATGAGTGCCGGGCTTTTGTGGCGATGTTAAAGTAGGCCCCCTACCTATGCGATGACTAAAGTTCGGAGCGAAAAGGGGGTCCACCAAGCCTGAAATTTGCTCCGAAATGACCCGGATCTCACGGTAGCCTGGACGCCACCCACAAGCGATATCGAACTGCAAGGCCAGACCACGCATATATGCATGACCGTGTGTGCTATAGCACACACGGTCACGAGGGCAGGGTCCCGCAACGACCTACGTCTCTACCCTGCATGCATCTCGTAGGTCGGTGCCAGACTAAGGTGGAGTTTTGCCATTTCGCAACGGTTTGGCGAGCAGCCAAGCACGTAGGAGGTGGGGCGCGATTGTTGTGTTGTGCTTGGCTGCTATTCCAACATTTCGGTTTTCGTCAACTTGGAAAGCGGTACGACTACATATTCTCTGAACTATGTGAACTATGGGTGATCCGTCACCGACGACTCCCGTATCCGAAAGCGATTTGGTGCAAATGTCAAAGGACTATTTCGATTTTTTGGTCGCACAAGTTGTTGCGGCTAGGCATAATTCGACCACTCAAGAATCCCCGATGCATCAGGAATCTGCACAATATCCGACCCTTCAAGTATCTGCTCCGCCTGGGCCTAGTTCTTCCACGAAGCCAACATTCACCAGAACGGGTGCTGGCAGCGTTGACCCCACTGATGGAGTTCGTGCCACAGGAGGGAGAATCTAGGGCGAATATAGCAATTACTCTCCTGACCCAGCGCGAAAAAGCTAATCGTTGCCGATTCAGATACAGACGTAATCGAGTTCTCCGAGCAGCAGTCGAAGGCTGATTCGATGCCAACCCAATACTGGCCGCCTTCTTCAGGGACAAGAAGAAAAAGGAGGAGAGAAAACAGCCAGTGCAGCCTCGGTCGGTATGGAGTGAGTTTTTCTGTAAGAGCGGCACGTTATCCATGAAGGATCTAATGTTGCATGAGTGTTATCCAACTGTTCAGAAGCTCGTTTCCTGCCCTATCCCGCCCCTTTCGGTACGAAGGGGCGGCTCGAGCTCCCGCCCCTGCTTTTCAGAGGCCCTTATACACTAGAGGACATTTCCGTTCGTCGCCTGCCCGTCAACAAGGCCGCCAAAGAATATGTTACAACTGCGGAAGATATGGGCATTACTCTCGCAAGGGAGGCAGGGAAGAACGCCTATGACGGTGACTTTTTGGCCGGAGGGATACACTAGTTTATTGATTTTTGGATGAGTATGAAACCTTATCCGTTTTCGGAAAATGTGATCCGCGACGGCAGTGGCGTACCGAGGGGGGGGGGCGGGGGGGGGGCGCGCGCCCCCCCCCCCCCGAGAACGGGTCGCGAAATTTTTGAAAGTTACTTACATGGGTTATAAAAATGTGCAAGTGACTTGTTTCTACTTGTAAATAATTAAAATAATTTTTTAAATTTTTAAAAAATTCATTTTAGCCTTATAAAAAATTTTTTTCGGGGGCGTGGCTGACGCCACACCCCCTTTTTCCAGATTTTAGGGTTCGGGGACCCGGAAAAATTTTGAGAAGCACCCCAAAAATTTTTTCGGAGTGCGTGGCTAACGCCACGCACCTTCTTTAGAAAATTTTTTTGTCGCGCCCCCCCGAGCCGAAATCGTGGGTACGCCACTGCGCGACGGTTATGCGCCAGTATTCATGTCAGAGCCAGCGTTGGCAGTCGTGAGAGGCAATTGCAGGTCTTTCTTCACATAGGCAAGGTGATTTCGTTGAAGGGGAAGTAGCGAGTTTGCTAAGAAGTGGAGCTACAGTTAGGGCATCTAGAGGGGAGAGTCTCAGGATTAACCCACTGTTAGTGGCGGAGGGGAAGAAATTACGGCTTATTCTAGACTTATCGGAACTCAATAAAAATGTCGAGAAGAGCAGAGTCAAGTTTAGGGACGTCTCCAAAGTTGGTCCGTTGCTACCGGAAGGGGGGGGGGTTACATGGCCGCATGGTCTTAAGTCTGGCTACCACCACGTCAGGATTAACCGTAGCTTTCGCATATATTTTGGTTTCACTTGGAGGGACACAGCTTATAAATAAGTTTGTGGTACTCCCCTTCGGGCTATCTTCTGCTTCCATGATGCTCACCAAACTGTTGAGACCTTTATTGAGCAAGTGGAGATCCGCTGGCATAAACATAGCGGTACATCTGGGCGATGGCCTCTTATGGTCCGATTCCGCATGCGGGTGCGAGGAAGCGATGAGTGTAGTCAGAGCTGACTTGCGACATGTCGCTTGTTCGTTGCGAAAGGGCAAAACATAGGTTTTGCCATACTATATCAGACGCAAAACGACTGTTTTGTTCAGCTGCAGAAGGTGCGCAGAATTAACAGATTAAACGCGCAGATTTAACGTTAAATCTGCGCACGATTGCCTGCTTCAGCTGCAGGAAGAAATTGCAAAATTGAAGTTAATTCTGCGCGCCTTCTGCAGCTGAACAAAACAGTTACCTAGTCTGGCGCCTACCGTACTCGCCCGAGCCTACCATAAGATTTGGGCCAGTTGGGAGGCGATCTGTAGACTTCGTAGACCCCCTTTCACGCTACAAACTTCTGTCATCGCTTAGTTAGGGGGTCTACTATAACATTACTACCAGAGCCAAGTACCCCCCAATGTGGTGGGACGCTGCCTCTTAGCTCGCAAGCGTTAATATGTAAGGATAGGGAACCACTAATGTCAAAGCAACGATTTGTTTCTGAGCGCAATTTGCCTATGCGTACTGCACAAATTTTATGGACATTGAATAGGCACTTCATCCACAAAGGAGGTTGAATTTTGATGTGAAGCATGATAAATACGAGTAGATACTATCTTTGCACTGTAAAGTTCTAGAGCTCTGAAGCTCCACGAGACACTGCACAACCGTAAAAGATTTCCCTTTCTCCACATTCTCAGTTCTCAGCTACAGTGAACACACGCGAGTGAAACAATCCCTTTCAGGACGCCGAAGTCGATGAGTTTGCGGCCATTGCACGCGCGGATGTTACATGGCCTCAAACCAGTTGAACAATCCGTACTTTTCAAGATTCGGGTAACTGGAAGCTAATGTTTGATAGCAGAAAATCTTTTGAAAGGAGAAAGACAAAGAAAGCCCAATGCGCGTGCAACAGCCAGAAACTTACCGACTCTTGCGACTACGCAGGCCCTACAGTTTGCTATTCAATTTCCACTCTGTGGCAGATTCAGGTTGGTACCGCTATTCGTTTGTGTTCGCCTTGGCGATGAAAATAAAACATGAAAAGACTTGTCGAAAACAGTATTCACAAACAAAAAAATAAACACAACGACATGATTTGCACAGTCAAAATGTTAGACTACTAGTAATACAGCAATTATCTGCCAAAATAAAATGCTCTTGAAAGATACAGCGACTCATTATAGGTGCGATCACAAAGGCTTTGATCTTTAGTCAAGGAGGATAACAGCAAGGAACTTGGTCAACAACTATTCGACAAGTTGGAGCCAAGTCACTGTAAGCGTAACTGAAAACCAGAACATGAGGACAGATGACTGCCAAAAACAAAAACTACTTCTTCTCTATAGGACCCGCACAAAAAAAGAAGCTACAATAGTTACATCGACTTGCACGCTGCCTCAAGATGCAACTCGGAAGGCATTTCTAGACAATTCGGAACCAATTACAATTATCGATCGAACTTGGAGATGTGATTGCCTCATCAAGTTACTACACCACGCGGACTGATGATTGAGTATAACAATAATGAAGCGGAAGCATTCTACGCGGACAAGAAACATGAAATCAGTGAAGTTGAAATCAAAGTCAACAAATATAGTTCTCTGAACTCGATATGGTAATATACTAGGTACTCATGCAAAAAAAGGAGATAGATCTGCAAGCATAGCGAAATACTGAGTTGCAATTATCATACGCAGACATTTCTGTGCTGCAAGGTAGATCGCCACCTGACGTATGTCTCACACCTTCAAACATATCTTCAAAATGGGCAAAACCTTGAAGGAATAAACGAAATCTGAACTTACCATACTGATAGTGACATTAATTCCGAGATTCCCATTCTCTGAAACAAGATTTTCAATCGGTGACAAAAAATTTCGTCGTATTCAAGATGCTTACCCGCAAACAACTGTGCTGTTGGTGTGTCGAAGGCCAAGCAGTCTGAAAGTTGGATAGCATGTGCTACTCCTTCATGAATTGAACGTGGTGTCGCTTCCCAGCACAGGCGACGACGATGTGTTGATAGTTCCAATCTACAAATTTTGCAATGTCAACACTGAGTTTGACCGTCCAGGTAATGTACAGAGATACTTGCAGTTCCACGTTTCTAAATACGAAAACGTGTCCTAGATAAGCGAATACGCAATTACGAGCAAACCCGTAGGTCAAAAGTAAAAAAATCCCTTGGAGCGGTTAACTCTATACTCGGACGACTACCCACCACCCAAAAGTCACAGCGAAGGCAAATCCGACATAAGCAATAATGAGCATATCGAAACAGCCTCAATCTCGACCATTTACTTCAACGCAGATCTTTCCTTACGAGATGCTCACGATTAGCACTGTCGGTCCCACAGATGATACATGGCTTTTGAGAAAAGACGGTCGAGCGTTGGGGATCGTTGCGGGAGAACATCATAGAAAAAGTGGGAAAATGCCGCTTACATCAATGCGCTTTTGTTCAACATGTCTTTAGTAAAGTCATTCAAAGATAAACAAATAACATGAAAAGATCTCGGCATCGTAGCTGCCAAAATCGAACATCAAACGACATTGACCTCCAAGATCATCGTGCTATCAGGACGAAATGAGAAGATTTCATTGAACTTCAACCACTTGTGTGTTCTGATTACACTTTGGCACATTTACGGCACATTCGACGAACGAAGACCAACGATATGTGACGGATATGACCCAGCAGGTAGTAAAGGGATAACTGCGCAAAGATTTCCACCTCCTCCTCTCCCGTTCCCCACCCTACCTCCAACCTTGATCGTGATGAATGCTCGCGACTATCTATCAAGTGAAATAGTGGGGCATGCACTGAAGTACAGCGTTTGAATTTACACAGTCCCGCTGAACTTCAGCACCACAATACTAAGACCAGGGTGTCTGAAAGCGGAAGTCATGGTGTGGGCGAGACCTGACAAGAAAAGTCCATGAAGTCACACTTGTTTCTAGTGCAAAAGGGCTTCCGAGACTGCACATAGCACACCAGTGACAACACAACTAACAGAAGCTAAACTATCAATTTCGGATCTTACATCTCCTCAAAAAAGGCAGCGTTGCAAATCGAGTTCATAACAAAAGACCCTTACCGATACATAAAATTGTCAGCTTCCTTCTTCGCTCCAATAAGTTGCACAACAGCATAAAAAACCTGTTGCCCATGATCAAACTTCTCCTGTTTCTCTAAACTTGCAATTCGTTTAGTGTGGCGAAAATCGCGTCCTATAAAAGCAAATATACCTAAGACGAGCATGAAATTATATCCAAAGCAGCTTTGCATCATGACCCAATCCACAGCTCCGGGTAGATTGATATCCGTAGCAAGAAATACTATATCTTCTCCTGAAAAGTAAAAACATCCCAGTCCCAATATCATATTTCAGGAAATAACTGACCTTGAAGGGTGGTTATGCTTTTATGCACTTTCTTGAGATGATCCATTACATCGTTCAAAGCTCCCTGCCATTTACATGCAGCGCCAGGACAGGGACAACTATAGGGGCTTGAAATGGTGAAGATTTTTTCAAAGTAAGCTGCGAATATGAAGTAAGGAACGTACCGACATTCGCAGATTTCTTCATGCTCAACCTTGTCAAAATGGTAAAATACGTGAGGACAGCCGGACGAAGCGAATTTGCAAGGAAAACGGACGGTGTTTGCAATTTTCTCAAGACCAAGATTTCGTACGCTTGCTGGAACTTTCTATTTAGAACTCTAAGGAAGAAGAAGAGAAGCAAAACCTACGAGTTGGTCCTCTACACGTTGGGCAACACTGAAGCTTGGGACGACAATTCCCGCAAACCAAATGACCTGCCTGACACTGCAGATATGGCGGCAGCATATACTCCAGACAAACTGGGCATTCAAATACTGAGAGGACCTAAACTCGTAGGATTACCATTTCTACTTCTCTTATCAAAAGCTCGACGGACAACCTTAAAAAGAGAAAAATCACCTAACCACTTGCATCTTTAATGGGTCTCAAGCTGTCCTCAAATTTCAATATGCTCCACTGAAGTATGGAAAGAGATAACGAATAATCTTACAGAAAGTCCGATAAAATCTTATTCCCAAACGAATTTTGAAACACTGGCTTACTGAGATACTCTACTTTTTGCCACCTATGCTATTTGATGTTTGACTTTTCTATACACTGAGTCAGGTCCAAAAAATTTCGGTAATCTTCACCCAAAAGCACACAAATTACTTCGAAAAATGCACTAATTAGAAAAGAATAATTCAGTAAAAACCAGCCGTTGCTTTCATAAATCGCTTCTTGATGCATAAGTGGTGCAAAAAATATAACTCACTTCATTAGAATTGAACTACGAGAACGAGATCTCGGTATTACAGATAGAAGTGATGCTTTGCAAACAACGTTGCCTGATTTTACATCCTCAGGGCACCACTCCTGCCTCATTCAAAATGATGCATATAAATCAGTGGCGATCGCTGTTTATTTAACGAAGAATTACAGGGACGAAAGATTGCAGATGACGTAGCGTTTGCCACTGCAGATGCTTTCGAGATCCTCATTTTCGCAAGTTAAAATTTTGAGAGAAAGTGAATGGCATTAGATATGTATGTCAGATGCACTGATTATAGATGAAGACATCTTTTAAGATTTTATGACTTGAGCAAACATTTCCAAGAAAAAAACGCGTCCCCTCCCCTAGCTCGACACAACATCAATTCTGAAGCAAATGCGTTTACTGGCGTGATACAAATGATTCGCAAACTTGAAATCTTTCGAAGCGCAACTGTGAAGTCTAATAATCTTAAAACGGGAAAGCACTGTTATGGTTAGCAGAAAAACCACAGCTTTCATGTCAACGCAATGTTCTCTAACGTGACCTAAGCTGACTACAGAAATCAAAGTTGTTCTCGAGATGTCTTAGTAAGCAGTATAAGCAGTACGAATTTTCTACGGTCTCGAGACTCAAGTACTTTCTCTCATTAACACATTCACGAGATTACGACCCGCGGGTGGGTCTACGTGTCCAGCCATTTCGGACAATACGACCACCGTTAGGTCGTATACTTTCTTAAGTTTTCGATTTTAATCGTTTACGATGAAACTTTTCGAGTAAACTGTAGGCTTTGACCATATACTACTAGTGCTGCCCGTGTTACCAGTGATCGTTTTTATTGCTGTTGAGTAGTGAAATGATCACCAACACAGTCTCATTCTCGAACGCATCCTCACTAACTGGTGAGTAACACGAGTAACACTAGTAACACTGGCAGCATGAGTAGTACTAGTAACAAGATAACACTGGTAATGTATGGTCAAAGCCGAACAAACTTCTGGATAGACCTCTTGGAATATTTCCCGAAAGACTGACACTTCAGACCATAGCAGCCATCAGCGGGCAAAAAATATCATGCCAACTCGATGATGCAAGATATGGGTTCCTTCATATTACGCAGCAGAACGCGGCAGGCCGCTGAAGCCGCAGCGAGAATATGCCTATGGCACCAAGATTCTACAGTTTATCGATGTTTCTGTGCAGAATCCCACACAACAGCTTTGTGAAACAAGTGAAATAACCAAGTTTGATAAAACTGAGAACGCAGGAACGCACCGAATTCAACTTATATAAAGAACCGTTGAACCCATGATAAGACAAAGCAAGAAAGAAAAAAGACTGCTAACTCTTATCACGTTTTAATCCTTCCGGGGCCCCTGATTCCGAATATGATGTGGAGAACCCGCGAAAACCCCAACAATCCCAGTTCCGGAGAACCGCAGGCCGGCTTTCCGGAACGTTGATTGGCTGGGCACACAGGAGGGGCGAGCATGGATGGGGAGAGCGGCGCCATAGGGCGAGGGGGGGGGGGGTCCTCGTGCACCTTACTTATTCCGTAGCTTTTTCGCTTTCGAAGCGACGTTTTGCGCCGCGACTGGGCATTGGCTTGATAGGGGGTCCCAATATCATATGCTGCTAAAAGCTCAAGACCCTCAACTTAGGGTAAATGGTGACTTTAACGAGCACTCTGTAAGACTACGAATGTGCGCAGAAAAGGAACATCGATAGACCGCAAAACTGCGGTAGCATAGGCATATTTTGCCTGCGACCGCAGCGGCGCACACCGCAGGTTACTGCATCCTGGGGCATAGTATAGAGGGACCCTATGCTCTGGTCAGAAACTACTAAAAAATTGGCCTTGTCGTAAATGTGTCGATAGGAATTAGGTGTGTGCCAAGATGAACGATAGCTGGAAATAAACATACTGTACTCCTACGTTTGTCAATACATCGCACATAAAGTCTTATTTTTTGAAGCTGTATGTTCCAAACTAGATTGAAAATGATGTAGAACAAAAAATCAGGGCATACAGAGCTTCCAACGTTTTTTCCAAGCTTCGAGATATATCATAGCGTAAATATGGAAATTAAAAAAGATTCGACCTACGCAGCGCATATGGCTAGCACAACCTATCGTTCATGTTGGTTGCCTCCCAATTAGACAGGTACCAATATGGACATTCCAGAGATTGCCTGTATCTTCGATATCGCAAAAACGACTCAAGAAAAAGCCAATTTCGAAGGACCAATATGTACGTGGCGGCAGTTCGCTATCAAAAGTATGCATAAGACTTGGGCCAGTAAAAGCTTCACATTGCTCATTGGAACAGGTGCACTCAAACGAAAATCTTATTTCCTGCAATTCTTCAATCATATGCCAAGAATTTATGTTTCTCAGAACAACTCAATAATTACTGACGTTGCATAAAAAATTGCTCATCTGCATTCAGCATACTATAACTTAGCGAGGGAAAATGATAAACCCACTTCCGCACTGCTATCCGTATGTTCACTTGCGCCGATTGTAGCAATCTGAGGAGCAACACTCTGTGTGGATAGCGAGGATGGTGAGCACGTTACTACTGAAGTGAAAATAACGCTAATAAGAACCGAGTGAGAAAACAGAATCAGCAGGATAATATAAAAGTACCTGGAGGTGCAGTTGCTTGCACCCTCGCAAGATTCTTTTGGTGAGGAGCTGCTACTCCGTGATTTGGTGGCGTGGGACCCATGAACTGGGATGGTGGAGATCCAGAACGACTACCACTTCGATCGCTTCGTTCACCAGCGCTGCTGGAGGAGCCATTTGGACCACATAACGCTGTAGCTGAAGACGGCGCCGATGAAGAGACCGCAGCAGACGGCAGCTCAAAATACTAAGATCAGAACAAAACAAAACAGAAGATTTTATATGAACCTACTTGGCTGTGGTTGTTGCTACTCATCCGCGCAACGGTGATAGCTCGTGGATGAACCCGCCAGCGTGGAAGTTTGCCAAATCGTATGCCTGAAATAACCAAAGCAGTTGTGGTAATGTATTAGGCTGCATAGTAGCTGAAGCGAGGAATTGATAATTCGCAAAATGAGAATCAACTTCTCCTCGATGAAGTCCTCAACAGTTCACTACGATACAGTACATGGTTCAAACGAAAAACTGTATGACGAAGGATAAAAGAATGTCCTGCAGGAACATCTCCCCCCCCCCCTCTTCCAATAGGCCTGAGTAAAACTGCTATGCATGTGTTCAGTCAATAGGAACATATTCCTGGATATATAATCAGGACTTAATGGAATGACTTTTGTATAACAGGACTGTTCTCATTGCAGTGATTCAAGTAGTGAGCTCTTCAGAAAATGTTTCGTGACGAATGATGGTCTTCATCGGCTCAACCAGATGACTGAAAACTGCTACTGTTGAAGGAAAATGAAAAATGGATATGTTGACCTCTGATCCTGATCATTGGAACGATTAGCGGCTTAAATAGAAAGTTGCAACAACGCACGCGCTGCTGTTCCAGAAAGTAAAATTTTATCAATTTCTTGAAGCAAAATAATAATCACAAAAAGTTAGCACAAGAGGTAAGCAAGACAATTTAACGATTTCCTACTTCAAAAGGCAAAAGCAACACTTGTTGAATCTGCGCATGATCTACCACGCACGTGATTTTTGCAGATATAACTTGCATGCAAAGACAAAGAATAAGGTTCGAACGAAATACCGAACGCAGAAACAGGAGTGCAGTTGTCGTTCAATGATTTGCTGATCGAGTTGGTTGCGTAACGATATGAATAACATTTTCCGATCAAACAGACTCAAATCCGGTTTGCAGTTTAATATCGTAATTTATACAGCGTTGAAAATGCTTATAAAGGGCTCGTATCAATCAATGCGGCCCAAATTTTCAAAAAAAAAAAACAGTTTCCTCAGTCACATCAAAGAAAAAGCCATTCGACAAGCTACGTCCCAATCAATAAACTCTCGAAATTCAACACGAAACTGAAAAGCTCAGCGGTACAGGCTATAACTGCCCATGGCGAAAGCGAAGAGCGTCAAGCAGCGCGCACGAGATATTGGAGAGTTTGAAAGGAATCAATCGAAGAGTATAGCGGTAGATAAAGTCTCAATATAACAAAAACAGGTATTGTAAAACGATCAGCGAATCGAAGGACTGCAAAAGCCAGCTTGTAAAAGAATGTAAGTGGAAGCTAGCGTTCCACCACTAACAATGCTACTCTCAAAACAAAACAAAGCGTGCAAAATAGATTACTCGGCTCGTTTGATTATAAAGAAACGTTCTCCAAGGGGACTTCGCAACCTCCAACGATCTGCTGGATTGAACCAACGAGAAAGACGGCGAGACCTCAGTAAAGCAGTGCATCACTCGAGGAGAAGCAGACTGGCGGAGCGCGATAGACAACGCAAACCCGAAGAGTGCGGACATGGCTCAGCTGACTGCACGGGAGGCGACCATTGATTCGCGCTACGCGCTGCGTACCGCAAGTACGCGCTCAGGGATTCGCTCCGTGCGGGCGGGTTGCCACGCCGCAGCGAGCGGGCGCCGGTGTTGCGGGCCGTAGCGGTATCGCAGCGCGCCCGCATGACCGTGGGTTGCCGCACGCACGGGGGTTGATAATTTTGGACACTTGATCGGGGTTATTTTTGTTGCTTGTTTATGTGTGGTGCTTGAATGTACTCCATTAATGCGTTAAATGTTTATTTTGTAAACCAAAACATAATAACATTACAATTCGACAGAATCGCGCAAGCAAGAATGTATAACTGTCCTGTAAAAGAACAAACTAACATAACGAACAAGAACAGAAAGCAAGATAAGAGACAAGACGAACTGTCAATTCCTATGGTGCGCGTTACAATCTCTCATATAACATTTGATATTATATACAAATATAACACAAAACAATAGTCCGTAAGGTTGCTTCAAATTCCGCGTTTCAGCTCGTTTCTTAAATGTAACTTTCATCCAAAATAGTTATTTTTTCCATGCTCTGAAAAATAAAACTGTCAAACAAACACAGCACGCCAACAGTGATATAAGGAATCACCTTTGCTTCGATCTTCAGCCTTTATCCATTTGTATTTTGCTTAAAGTAATTGCGCATCTCATTAGAACAAATAAGATTGCTATCATACCTCGTTGTGTGATCCAATAAAGACATCCTTGAGGATCTAGAAATGAAGGGTTTTCTGACTGTCGTAGGACCACTTCGAATAAAACGTCGTGCTATCACACCTATCCTTCGTATCCGCTGAGAGAATTGGGCATATTATCAATGCAAGCGAGTCAAGGAAACCATACCTTGTCATGTAGTCCAATAGAACCTTGAGGTAGTAGAAAATTTAATTGAGTGTTCGTGGCAATCGATGTTATGGGTTCCATTTATAGAAAGCGTCGGATCATCACAAGTGAGCGTAGGCAGAATGTCACACATCGAAATGAGGTGCGAAGTTTCTATGGTAAACGTCAGTTATGGCAAAGGTCAATCAATGAATGACACGGATGACAAAAAACTCAGACAAACAAAAATACCATGGAAAAAGACGGGGTCATAGTATCCCAGAATGCTCTAGCATCAATATTGAAAAAGAAATACGCATGGGAGGGCGATAAAACTATTGCAGCATAGCATCCAAAACGATGACAAATAAAGCATAAGAGAAGTCCTACATAAGCTAGAGAAGATTCAAGTATAGAAGCTTTTGTTATAAAACAATCTCAAAGGAGAAAGTTAAGAAGATCTGCGCATTAATTACCGTGCCTTTTCTTTTTGAAACAGTCCGTAATTGCGCGTCTGGGCAGCGTTCCTTTACGCGCTGCCGCAGAAAAGACATGGTTGCCCGCTCGCATGCCTAAACTCATGCGGCGCGCTCGCACGGGGGCTCGAATGACCCTTATAATTAGGCTGCCCGCACGCACGGAGGGGCTACTTCGCAGCCCGCCCGCACGACCCAATGCTCTGAGCGGCCGGCGCTGCTGTGCGCTGCGTTGGCGGTGAATGCAACAATTACAGTGAGCTTCCTCTGTGGGAATGCTGCTCGCGCATTCTTGTCTTCATAAAGCTGAGCAAACGTTGGCTCAAAGACACAGTCTTTCCGTATCCATGCTCTTCAGATGACTGTGCAGTCTAAGCAGGCCCCACATGTGAAGCATCTGCGTTTCAATTCAGTAATGTCCGTAGAAAGTGAAGACGTATCGTCATTGTATGAAAGGCAAAGCACTCCACATCTTCACTGTCATGACAATCTGCAGATTATCGTATCAGGCGTGAATCCAATGTGGCTACACAAACATGTAGCTTTACGGCAAATAGACGACTGTGGGTGGCCCCACATTTTCCGTTTTCACTTTCTGTTGCAGTAAGATTCTTTTTGCTTTCTCAATAGCTTTTGTGGCACTCGACAGAACAAAGTAAGCTCTACAAGGTAGCACCCAAACATCCACACAAAGTTTGTTCCTCATAAAGTTCGACACCAACGTTTGAAACGCTTTGCATGCCCGAAAAGTCGGGAGGACAACGCATCATTCATTATCTGACTTAGGAATACTAGCACGTTTTGCGTGATTCTGTTTAACAAGTTCGTGAATGCGTTCTAACGCGTTTTGGATGCGTTTCTCAGGACTTCGTTGAAGAAGATGTTCAGCTCGTTCAACAACGCAAGCTCTCTTTCACGGGAGACGGTCGTAAGGCGCGTATTGATCGGTTCTTACTAACTGGGAGGAGCAATAAATAAGTTCAAATTCATTTTAATACTATCGGATTTCAACTGCTTATCCTTCTTTAATTTCTGATGTACTGACAAAAATCTCGCAATCTGGAAACCTTGCTTTTGCAGAGAACTGACAATGAAGGCTTAGGGAACGCGCGCCTTTCGACATACACCCCTCTTTCTTCCTAAAAAATTTCTGAAACGCGTCAGAACGCGATCGTAGATTGGTGATTAGACGTATATACGCAAAGTGTGCTCGTGTCTCTTGGTCAGAAAATAAATGATATCTCCGTCCGAAAATACAGACTCTACTCGCCAGGCATATGCTCTCTACTTCTATACTTACTTAGATACTTAGATGGCCCATCCTCACGTGACGTGCGGGCCCCAGTACAGAAGTTGCCATTTTTCCCTGTCCCTCGCTTCAGACATCCGCGATCTTCTTGGTCGTCGTCGGGCTGCGTCCACGAGTTCCAGGGGCGAAAGTCGTATCCAGCTGATTTCTCAGCTGGTCCATCCGTTCCACGAACACGTCTGCCCATCTCGTCGGTGGTCTTCCTCGAGGGTTTTTGGCTTCGCGAGGAATCCACTCAGATGTTCTTAGTGTCCATTTGTAGTCTGTTCTTCTCATTATGTGACCGGCCCATCGGTGTTTGGCTTTCGTAACGTATTCCGCTGGGTCACAAAGACGGGACATTCTTCTCATATCCGAGCTGCGAAGTCCGACTAGATGTTGCTTGCGTTGGGTCATTTTCAGAAGACTGCGCTCGAGCGCTCTGTGGGTGGTCCGTAAAGCTTTCGACGTGGCTACAGTGTCGGAACAAGTCTCAGCTGCGTAACAGAGCGCTGGGAGAACGGTCGAACAGGTGGGCACGAAGCTCCGGGTCCGTTAGTTGGTCGGTGGCTTCCTTCAGAGGCCCGAAGGCGGCCCAGGTTGCTCTTCTTCTCCTGTTAAGTTCTTCCCCCAAGTCGTTCTCCATGTTCATCGAACGTCCGAGATACACGTAAGAAGACGTCTCCATAATAGGTGTGCCTTCCAATTGCATTTCTGCATCTTCGCAAAGGGCGTTCCTCATGAACTGAGTCTTCTTCCGATTTATTCGCAGTCCGATCTTCTTCGCTACTTCGTTCAGTTTCTTCAGCATCGTCTCTGCTTCGGTGATACTGCTCGAGAAGAGAAGATGTCGTCCGCAAAACAAAAGTTGGACAGGAATCTCCCATCAACTCGTATGCCGCTCTCGTCCCAGTCCAGTGACTTCATCACCCACTGCAAGGCCGCGGTGAACAGCTTCGGCGAGATTGTGTCGCCTTGTCGGAACCGCTTCCCAACTGGAATGGTCAGGGGGCGATGGAATAGCTGCATCGCTGTTGTACAGTCCTTGTAGCAGTCGGCTAGTGTCCTCACGTAAGCTGGTTCCACGCCTTGTTCGACTAACGCAGACAGGATGGCGTTGGTTTCGACGCTGTCAAAGGCTTTCTCGTAGTCGACGAAAGTTAGGACAAGAGGCAGTCGGTACTCCCGGCAGACTTCTATGACCCTCGAAACCGTCTGGATGTGGTCCATGCAGCTGAATCCTTTGCGGAATCCAGCTTGGGGTTGGGCTTCATCCAGTGTCCTTGATATGCGAGCGAGGATAGTCTTCGTGAAAAGCTTGTACAGCCCACTCAGCAGGCATATTGGACGATAGTTCCGAAGATCCTCCCTCTCACCCTTCTTGAAGAAAAGGACAGTTCTTGACGTTTTCCACTGGTCGGGAATCTTCTCCTTCTGAAGGTAAGATGTCAAATGCGACGCTAGAATCTCGTGTAGACGGTGTCCTCCGGCTCGCAAAAGTTCGACGGAAAGATGATCTGGTCCTGGAGCCGTGGACGTCTTCATGGTCTTTATCGCAATACGCACTTCAGCAGGTAGAATTCGTGGTGGTACTTCTCCACTGGGAACAACGGGCATCTGCACGGGTGTTGATGAGCGGAAGAGGTTGGTGTAAAAGTTCTTCGCTATAGATTCCATCTTGTATCGGGAAGAAGTCGGAGTCCCGTCTTCGTTCAGTAGTGTAGCCAGCGGTACGTGATATTCGCAAAGGTCCCTTCGGCACTTTTTGAGACTTCGTCTTCTTTTGGCTGCTTCCAGTATCTTGGCTTGCCTGTACTTTCTGAGATCCTCTTGCAAAGCTTTTCTGCAACTGGCGTTGGCTATCAGTCGCTCGAGATGGGTTGCATTCGGATCTTACCTCAAAAATCTTCTCCTTTCGAGCAATTCCTGGTGGTCTTGGAAATGCGTTCCAAGTTCTTTTCAGAAGTCACTGAGGCGCATTCTCCGCAGGCTTGCAATCCTTTCAGAAGCCGATCGTAGTCGTATGGGTCCTCCTCGATGGGCGAGTCACAACTTGATAGCTCTTCCAGCCTGTCACCATCGCAAACGACTTCCTTCCTTCTCGCGGCATTATGACAGACTTTCTTTTCCAGCCTTCGACTGAGTCGTCTCTTCGCTTGAAGGAGGCGGTGATCGGAGCCACTACAGAAGGATGGAACTACAGAGACATCGAGAGCTCCACCTTCGGTTGGTGAGAATGTGGTCGATCTCAGCATGAGTCGTTCCGTTGGGCGATTCCCAAGTCCACCGGCGATGTTCTTTCTTCATGAAGATGGAACTTCCATGGAAAAGTCGTACGGCGGAGAGAAGCCCAATGAGACGGTTGCCGTTTTCGTTTCGGAGCCCATATCCAAACTTCCCGATCCTATATTCCTTTTCTAGTGGCATTTCGCATTGAAGTCGCCCACAACATACTTATAGAAGGACTTTTCGTTGCGGGCGACCTCCTCCACGTCTTCGTAGAAAGCATCTAGTCCTGAGTCGTCAGCTGCTGATGTTGGCGAGTAGCAGTTGATGATGCTGATGGTCTTCTGACGTGGAGGGCGTAGTCGTAGGATGCCTAGTCGAGGTGATAGGGTCTCGTGCGAATCGACAAGATGGGCGATAGATGGGTGGACGACAAAGCCGACGCCTCCCACGTTTCGTGATGGAACCTTTTCACCACGAATGATTAGGGTCCCATTACTCATCTGTCGCTCGTCCTTCTTCCTGGACCTCGTTTCCTGCAGAGCGATGATGTGGTAGTTGATGTGCTCTGCAGCGTCGAAAAGAGCGTAGAGGTCGGCGTTTGTGGACACTGTCCTGGCGTTGTAGGTGCGGAGCATGAGGCAGTCTCCATGGCGTGTCGTCCGGGCAGACGTGTCGTTTTTGTCCAATCCGAAAGGCGCCCTGAGTACCCTGACATCGTTCTTGCTGCCACCCGGCGCCGTAGGCGGGATACGATGTGCAGGGTTTCTTTCTAGTCTTCTAACTGGAGGAGTATATGAATTTTCCCCTACAAGAGGTGGCTTACTAGGCCTACTATTGGTTTCCACGAAGCGATCGCTGACCCCGGGCTTGGAGCGGGGAGGGACCGCCTAGCGACCAGAAGAAGCCAGACGGCGGGGGATCTGGCGTGGCCGGTTCTTAGCTAGGCATCGCAAACGGAAACATCGAACTCCTTCACAGCATGGGAGGCCCTACCAGAGTATACACTCAGCTGTGCATCGCAGTTCGATACCCAGTGTCACCCCCACGCCATCATGAGGCGACCGACCATTGTGAGGGGTCTACTTCTATGTGTAATGAATTTTCTTCGA